CCCTGCGCTGGCTGCCGCCCCGGGACGGGCAGCTCCGGTCTCCTCATGCCTTACTCGCGCTCGGCTTTCCTAACGAAGCAGAAGAGAAGTCTAGCGCTAATTTTGCAGGCTGGGGACGCGTGGCATGATTCCCTGCCTCCTTAAAGTTGCACAGGGGCTCGTACCGTGGCCTGGTTGTTTGCCTGAAATTAATTGTATTAGCGAAGTCTGCAGACATTGCAAGAACAAACGACTGTAGTGTTTTGTAGGGTTGAGTTGTGCGCTGTCAGTAGAAAAAAAGGAAGACAACCGAGATGATCTCTGCGGGTGTTCTGTTTTTCCTAGTGCACCTCTATCAGCTGGACATCACAGTGAAACAGGGGCGCAACAAGGTGCGGGAGCTGTTCATGAAGAATGCCCACGTTACCGATCCACGGGTGGTAGACATGCTGGTTATCAAGGTACAAACAAGTTATTGCCGTGTTGTTGAAGCTGCACAGAACGCGAGAGTGGATAATTGGTGGTGAGAGTGATGGAGGAGCTGCTTTAGCATGCAGAGGAATAAGGTCTTCACTCACCTAAGTCAGAGCTGCCAGAATATGGATTTCTGTCACTCAGTGTACTGGCTCTTCCAGTTTGCAGATGTTTAAAAGAGGAAGTGTATGGCAAGCAAAACAGTGGTTTAAACACAATGTTTTGGGTTTTTTTAATTTGTTTTTTAGAAAACAGTGGCAATCAAAGAAAGGAGAAGAAGATGCTGCTAGCTAGTTTATCACTTAAAATTGCCTTTCTACTCTCTACCGTACTGCCTTAGATTGGGATGTGGTTTTCTTCACCGATTCTGAAACATACACTAGAGTGGCAGTACTGCGTGGGAGGGTGGCTTTAGGTGGCAAAACACCTCGAGTCTGTAACACGTCTGGTTATGTCTTAGGCCTGGGAGACCCGTCTGGTGCAAAGCAACCATCAACATACCAAGAGTAGGGCAAGGCTTCAGAACGGGTCTGAGCAACGATAACTGACCTTTGCGGTTCTAATGCGTCAGAAAGCTTCCCACTGAGGACTGCTGTGCTGTGTGTTTCTTGCATTTCAAGACAACTAGTCTGTCTTTACATGATGAAAAAAAGCTGGAAACAGAATCCTAGGTGATAGAGTAGGTGACAGTTCCAGGCAGTCTTGTTCTGCTCTGTGCTGCCATCCTCTAAAACCAGTACGATAAATCATAGACTGGAGTCAGATAAAAGTTATGTTTAATAGCAATACTGGTGCAAAGCACTTGGCAGCAATTTACTTAGTTTTACAGATAAGTTGCTGCTATTAAAAAAAAAAAAATAAATAGAGGTGCATCAAAATCAGGATTGCAGTGTAGAATTTAATAGGGGTGCTGGTCATGAGAGAAAAAAGGCAGGTTCTAAGCAGGGGGCATGGTCCCTTGCCTATTCCGCAGGGCTGGAAAGCTGTAGAGACAAGTGACTTGTTAATATAGGACATGAAGCATGAAAGTCACAAGGCAGGAACAGTATGTATATTTGTGTCACAGTGTAGGTGATGCAAGCAGTCTTTAGGAGTACAGAATTGTTGATGCAGCCATCTTAAGGGTGTTTCTAAGTGCATTCAAATAATTTTCATAGTGCTGTACAGTTAGAATCAGGCTCTAACTGAGAACTAGTCTAAAATTCTTTTGTCTGTGCGCAGGGAAAAATGGAGCTTCAAGAAACCATTCAGGTATGGAAGCAGAGGACTCACGTCATGAGGTATTTCCATGAGACGGAAACCCCACGACCTAAAGACTTTCTGTCCAAATTCTATGCGGGTCACGATCCCTGAGAGATTGAATCTGTGTCTTCCTGCCTTGTATTGCAAATAAAGTTCTATATAGTAGAAAAAAATCTGTACAGAAAGATTGTATAGCATATTAGGAGCCTAATGACTAACTGAATCCAGAGTGTGTGCACGCCATTACGATCTATATGGAGAGCTGTGATTTCCTGGTTTTGCCAACGTGTGTTTTCAGTGGATGGAGTTTGTCCCATCACTTGACCTGGAGCATCTGCTGAATGGCTGTGAGGCTTCCTGCTTAGTCTGCAGCCCCTGTGTGTAGGTGTTAGCTCTCTGGAAGAAAGAGTGGGCCCTCAGAAAAGCCAGTGTAGTCACACAGATATTCTTGTGCTTGAGGCCCATCTGTGTTCATGCAGTGTTTTGCGATTTCATGCTATCAGTTTGTTGGCCTTGTGTTTTTCACTTGGACACTAGTCTCTGTTTACTTCCTCACAGAGAACGGGGTAAAATCCAATAGACAAATAAAGCCCTTTGTGCAATAAAAAGATCAGCAGAGTCCATTTCCCTGCTGTGAAATGAAATTACCTGGAAAAATGGGGTTTCGTACTGTTGTCTAGAATAGGGAGGCTCTGTAAGAGCTTCTGATGCCTAGCAGAAGATGGTGTCCTGCCTTCACCTCCTTAATTGAATCTGGAATTACCTACTCCCTTCTGAGAAGGGTGAGGACAATTTGTTCTTTTCACCAGTCAGAACACATTTTCAGCAGGTAACTCAGTGCTGGAGCTCCCCCATGTGTGATCAGCATTGAATGCTTGTACTACTCTCAAACTTCTTTTTATCCTGGCCTAAATACTGGGGCCTTCTTCCCCGTATGAGGGCTGTAAAGCCTCAGGGATGCATATGTATGTGTACCTACCTAGGGGCTTTGGTGGTGGGATGTTTTTTTAGGACAGGGCTGAAGGAGGAACACGGCCAGGAGAAGTGATGGGATAAAGCAGTGATAAGGAATTTGGCAGTATAGAAAACAGGAGCAGGGACGTGTTTGGCTCCCAAGAGCAGATGAGCTCGAGCAACCACTTCTTAGTTGGCCATGGAAGAGGGGGCAACTGAGATACCGACTGACTCAAGAACGTTCCAGCTGCCTTCAGCTACAGCTGTTGGGGTTACTCAGATTGCAGGCTCCCTTTCTCTCAGTACCTAAGCTGGAGAGTTAACAGAGCAAACATCAAAAGCAGTGCCAAATAATAAGGGAGCAAGTGTGCCTATTTGAACTACACACTGTACTAACGTGTGCGACATTAAAAGAAACTTTTTAACAGCTGCAAGAATACTGAAGGGAAAAGTGAGCAGTCAAGAGGAGAGGCCGGATACAGTGACCAGAAACCATGACAGAGACATTGGAGCAATGCTGGTGTTAAAAAAAAAAAACCCAAAACACATTTGACTTTAACCTTTCAAGGTATTTGAGAAAACAGCTGGTCTGATGTGACCGAAGATACTCTACACATGTCCTAGCAGTAGAGAAGACCTTTTAAGTCTATTATGCAAGGATTTAATTACAATAGTAAATGCTTCTGTGAAAAGAAGAGTTGAAATTTATACACAGTTAAGAAAATAAATATTGGGGCTCATACAGAAGAAAGTACTGAACTGCCTAGGAAATACTAGGTACTTGGAGCCAAAGCGTTCAGAGATTTTTCACCATTCAGAGATTAAATGCTATAAAACACATCACCAAGTTACTTTGTCACTTGTGATCTTAACCTTTTACCAAAGCTACTCAAACGTTTTAACAACGTGATGATAATACTGTATTTAATCCTCAGTGAGGTGAAATTAACGATATAATCTCTGCCTAGGTTGTAAATCAGCATTATTTGAACAGCAGTGCCAGTGTAAATATGTACTCCATTCTTTTTATGAGGCTGTCTTGTGGGGCTGCTGCTTCCTCTAGGATTCCTGTCATGCACTGTAGATGAGTACTGAGTTACAGAAAGATCTCATAAGAGGAAATAAGTATGGAGAGCCTCCTTAGCAGAACAGCAGTATGGAGGTAGAAAGGTTAAAACAGAAATGCTACGACATAGACACATAATCTATAAAAACACAAGTCCAAAGTCATACATCTCAATCTCTTGATCTTTAATTAAGTGGTTCCCATATTGCTGATAAAAGGAATCCCAAGTAGTTTTTGATGAGGCAAGCGTGTGTGTGCAAGGATGCAGGGCCTATCAAGCACTTCCTTCAACCCTGATCTACAGGTTTCCATCTTAGACATGCGCAGGATGCTCACTGGCAAGGGGGATACAGAGCCCCCGGTCCCATTCAGAAAGGACAAAACAGGTGACAGATGTTGGAACCATTGCTTTGTCAATGGTTTTCTCTCTTCTGTTCTTCCATTACAATTCTGCAAATAAAACAATAAGCCATTACTCTTCAGATATACGATACTGAGCTCCAGTCTGTACCCTCCCCCTGAACCACACAAGGTGGAGTTTACATAAAAGGAATTTCTAACAGGTCATTGCAGTCTTTACAGTCTTTTAATTCTTTGGTTTTAGATGCGTAGTGCATGCTGGAAAATCCCTTTATCAAATGGAATACATCCCCCGAACTGACTATAAAGCAACACTATTTACAACAGCTTTAAAACAGCTTCTTTGTTCTATAAATAATCAAATAAGGGCAAGTTAAACAGAATAACATAAACCGGTAGGAAGTGTAGCGCAGTGTAGTGTACTATAGATAAAGGTGAATTATTTCCACTCTTCCTTTATCCAGTGAGTCTGAATGGTCCAACTACTCCAAAGATCAGTGTTGTAACACCCACCGGACAGTTTTTTTCTGATGGGTTCTGGAATTCCCTTAAATTGTTCACCTCTGTATAAGAATTTCGTACAATAAGTGATTCTTTTTTAAAATAGGCATTCCGTGAGTTAGCAGAAGACTTTTAAACAGGTAAACATGTAAAAGAGAATCACAGAATCATTTAGGTTGGCAACCTAACACTGCTAATTCCACCTCTAAACCACATCCCTATGTGCCAGTCTATATGTCTCTTTGAACAACCCCAGGAATGGTGAATCAACTGGGTCCCTGGACAGCCTATTCCAATGCTTGACAACACTTTGGTGAAGGCATTTTGCCTAATATCCACTCTAAACTTCCTCTGGCGCAACCTGAGGCCGTTTCCTCTCGTCCTATCACATGCTACTTGGGGAAAAAAGACCTACACTCTCCTCACTACAACCTCTTTTCAGGTAGTTGTGGAAAGTGATAAGGTCTCCTGCCAGCCTCCTTTTCTCCAGGCTGAACGACCTCAGTTCCCTCAGCTGCTCCTCACAGGACTTGTGCTCTACACCCTTCACTAGCTTTGTCGTTCTTCTTTGGATGCGTAACATAGTAACACTGGAGTCCCTCTTTTCTGTCTGCAGTGTAGACCCTTACTGACTACAGTTTATTTCTGATTCAAGATCTAAAACACCATCAGTTTATTCCAATCTCTAATGAGCATATGTTGTGGAGATTTCACATTCAGTTACCAGTCTGGCCTACTCCAGTATAGAAGAACAGAAAAGTCAGTAGCCAAAGGCAATACTGTGTCTGTGTGTTTCACTGCAAACGCATCTTTCAAGCTGTTGCTGTCTGTGTTTCCTAGCCTGAGATTCTCCTCCCTGCCTCAAGCCAAACGGGAAGCACAAATAATTAGACTGCTGATGATGCTAATGACATACCCTTTAATCATCATCGTCATCATCCTCTGGGACAAAGATATCGTGTTCTTCAAGTAGGGCTGCGAAGTTCTTACTGATCTGAGTCCCAACATACAGGAAAGGGATCACAACGCTGAATACTCTCAGGAGGCCAAAGGGTGTCTGCAAGGAGCCGATTGGAAAGACTGATCTTTACCAGCAAGTTGCACTGTGGCTGGACCTACGTACTGCCGGCTCCACAGGCGCGCAGCGGACCTGGGGAGCAGCGGGAGGAACGGCTGCCGTCCCTAGTGCCGGACCCCCACTCACCGCATCGCGCTTCGCATAAAAACTCCAGCACCGGGAGAACAGGAACCCGCGGGGAGCTCGGGGTGGGGAAAACTAGGGGCTTAGGAAGGGAGAGCGCTTGCCGGTGAGAAACGGCTGGGTACAGCCGGCTGTTTGTCTCCTCCTTATGCGCGGCGACCACCGCCGGGTCAGCGCT